CCTACATCACAGAACTAACGCTGGTAAATGAACCCAGCTACATCATTCGTGGATAAACTTCACACAAAATTTCATGATTGAACAGACTGATTTCAGGTTCATTCCTCAAGTTCTGGTACATATGGCTGATCTCAACGCTTATCATCGACTTCGTTATCTTTCAATTTATTACAGTTATCCAAACTTTGATAATCGTTGTCCGCCTCAGAGCTTACACGGCAAACTTGTATGATTCGGAAGGGCACGGATCGCCTATTCAAACGCAATCGATAAACAAAATTATCCACTGTGGCTAATGAGCCAGCTATTCACGCACATTGGTGCATCTTAGAACATGATCTGTACAGGGTATTTATGAGTAGTTTGTAAAAATTAAGGATGGTTGTTTGGGTTGGTTTTGGTTGAACAACACCCAGGGCACAATCTGACAGTACATATTCCAGTTTCGAATTGTTGCCGTTTACCGTCTTTTCTAACATGAAACTCGACGACCTTGAAGTTTAAGAAGAGTTGCTTTCCGGTTTTTGCAGTAATTTTCGGAAGATTGAAGCAGCTAGAATTTGGTGCACTGTTTCACGCTGCAAAACAGTCACTCCTTTTTGTTTCTGCTTTAGATCTATTAAGATAGAGAAACGACGAATCTGATGGTTGCAAAAGCGTTCTACCCATTTACGGGAACCAAGAACCGAAACTCAAGAGAGCAGATCCACTCAAGGCTCCCAACAGTGGTGTTGAGGCTCAGTTCAAGACCAGACCATAACCTAAATGGAGTGGCGGGTTCAGAATCGATGTGCTTTGAAAATTTGTAACTTGAATGGCATGATGTTGATTGCTGGCTTTCTTACTGACACAGGAAAATCAGTCTTATCGTGGGATCATTTTGTGCCCTCGCTGTACTCAACATTTGAATATTTCTTGTGGAAATCGATTAACGATTAACATATACACTACACATACACTATATTGATCCGTCTATCTCCATCCCAATAGAAGTTAGCAACCAGTTCATAGTCACCGATCATCGAAATATTTTATGCGCGTTCTCTCCTCTCCCTTTATACGATTCGCCCATCAATAGGTTTTTATTTCAACGGAATTGTTGTCCTCGTCTATTGATATTGTTTGCTCGATCCTCGCCGGCTTGATGATTTCTTTAAGCTAGCATATTTCGTAGCAAGAATTTCAGCACCGGACGCTAGTCTTTTATCCCAAGTCGTGTGGAACTATTTGCATTCACTCTCTGCTTTCATGATGTTTTGTGAATGGGCAGAGATAAACCGGTTCGTCCCCGTCATACTTTGCCTCTCAGAAGAACTGGTTTCTGTTCATAGGTCAGGCATCGTTGTTTGTCTGTTTCAGCATTTTATTTACGAACTAATGCAGTCGACATGTAGGCTTTTGGGGAATTCCAGGGCTTATCTTCTACCTCGTGGAAGCAAGTGCGTGGTTCTGTCACCTGACTTCATCCCTCGCCTATGTTACCATGGCCTTTCGGTTGCCAGTTCCCAAGTGACTAGATCTCCATGTGATACCGGATTTACTCCTTCCACCGGTGCTCAATTAAGCCTATCAAAGTTGCTCAGGCAGATGTGGTTCAAATAAGCTCCTTCCCAACTGGCTGCTTTCTGTCTATAAATATATATATATGTATACCCACCGTTTTTGTCTGATTTTCTCATTTCATCAGCCGCACATGTTGCGTTATGGTCATCATCTGAATGCTTTACCGCTAATCATGTATTTTGGAACACGAATTGATACATGCAATGCACTGTTACTTTCCCAGCTTGCCGAACGTCTATTGGCCGCTCAACTGGAACGCATTGATGTGTTACAGGGCGAGGGTGACAATGCCGAGCGGGTGAGTGTGTATCACACAATGTGCGTTCGTTTGGACGACTTTGATCCGTTTTGGTCTGATTCTTTTTTTCTTTTTTGACCCAATGCTGACTTCACCGTATTATTGTGAAACATATCCAACAACACCTGCCGGGAGAAAAATCATGAAGTGCCCAAGGTGTGTGTGTGTGTGTGTTGGGGGNGGCTAATTCGGTGTATTTCCACGTGCACGGTGGTCAAACGTGTCAACACTTATCGCGTATTGCTAATCTTTCAATGTATACTCCCGGAGTGCCATTGTCATACGGATGGTATTCACTGTCGACGTGTAAAAGCAGCCATCAAGCTTTTGTAGTGTCCAGCTAAGCAATCAGATCCGTCGCAAATATGAGCAATTGCCTTTTGGATTACAGATCAATCTGCCTTCCGGGGATTTAGGAAACCAGTTCTGTACCTCTTGATCTAGTTGTTCTATTCGTCATCGTCGTTGTTTATTCGGGGGACAGCATCGATTGATCTTTATATAGTGATGTCATCAGATGGACAGCACAAAGTGGTGAGAACTATTTTTTCTATGTCAAAGGGATAATAATCTAACTCAAATCGATTCCGTGTCACTTGCATATCGATTGTACAACTTCACTAACCCTCTCATCCTGTTAGCTAAGGTGTAACTCCTCGTGTAAAAATTAGGTTAAGCGTGAACTAGGAAGACCTGTACAACAGTTTTTTCCTATTTGGGTTCCATCTATCGACCCAACTGGAGATCGATCCTGGGAGCTCAAAGCTAAAACGCAAGTATCTTACGCACTTAATCTCTGAGCAGGTGATCAAACTGTTTTTCAGTTTGTCCAACAGGGCCATCCTTTCTTAATGCATGAAATAACTTGAAATTGGTTCTTGTGCTTTAGTAGTAAACGTGTTCGTTTTTTTCGAAGGCTTTTATTTTTCTTTCCGATTAATTTGGGATAAGGCTGATTTTACACTTAGTAGATTCGCAGTCGATTCTAGGAACGTGACGGGGATCTGTGGAAACCACACGAAATTAATGATGCTGTTCCGAGATATAAATGTATTTAGAAAGTGCTGTTATTGGTGGTAATATCAACACCACAGGATCGGGAGCACACTGACGCTTGCATTGAATCGCCTACCTCAAAACGGCTTCCAGATTAATGGGATTCTAAACTTTGTTGCTTATCCGAGTGCAACACTATCCAGATCAAAAAATTTGTGACCGATCATTACATAAAACTTCATCGAAAAAGATACACTTGAGAAGTAGATCGACAATTTGGTGGGTTTAGTGCTGGAAAGATCNNNNGATCAGAAAAGATCAGAGACTTTCGGTTTCTTAAGTTTCCTTTTATTTTATCTGTTCCCCTAAAAAATCTGTTTAATGTGCAGGAATTTTAATTTTTTTTTGATGCAGTTATCCCGGTTAAACATGCAGTTGGCGGCAAGGGGAAACAATGGGAGAATACAAACTAATGGGAAGAAGAATATAATGACATTGTTGACAAGCTAAATACGGGTAGTAAATAGTGAACATGGGTTCTGCAGCCGAGAGTATGGCGAATGCAAAAGAGCGGAAAAATCAGTGTGTCGTACGTGGTTTACTAAACTGGCTGTACGAAATTCCTCGACTGAGATTAGTAAACCATAGTCCATCCCCCCCCCGTCTCTGGATATAGTGTTCAAACGTGGAACGCTTTTTTTGTTCGTGACACGGCTTTCCTCGGTGATGTTGCACGGCAAATAAGTCGTACCAAATTTGATCGTGAAC